ACTCTTTCCTGCCTATGCAGGGGGTCGGACTCGATGATCTATTGAGGTCCCTTCCGACCCTAACATCTATGAATCTATGAATCTGTGTGGTTCCAGCTTCTAATTCATGTCACCTTCTAAGGCTTCTGCACCATTTCTTTTCAGAAACCCTTCTCACAAGGATATGCTCAGAGCAAAAATAAATTTTAAGTAACAAAGCAGTATAGAAGAAGAGGCTTGAGGCATTCTTTATCTTAAAAATGAACAGTATTTTAAATCACAACTACATTTGGAAGAAGTTGTATATTGTCTGACTCTGCTTTCACTGTGTACCACAAAAACAAAGTTGCCTTTTGCTCCCATACAGATTGTATACTGAAATTAATTCCAGCTAAATTAAGCCACGAATCTCCAAGTTTTCTTTCTAAAACTAAAAGATAAATAGGGCACCTTAACCTTAAAGAGAGTTTTGACTTTATTTGGATAGAACTGAGACATTTAAGAAGTCTCCTAATTTTCTGCAGCCTTTGGGGGATCAGTCCAAATCCAGTTTGTTTGAATGGATTTGGTTGTGCATGTTTTTTAGCTGGGGTATGAGTATTTGAAGATGTTGAGGTTTGCTCTGCTAGAGCTAAAGCAGCATTTGATGCCCTTCTTCCATGTTGTTTCTGTGGTGGGCCAGTAGGGGGTGCTCCTGCATTGAGCCACCTGTCTCACTGCGCCCAACACCTTCCAGTCTCCAAGTGCCTCCCTGGGGGCACCTCACATCCGGCCAACTCCCTTCCTGAAGCACACCTGCAAGCCTAGGGGTAACGCCGCCACCACCCAGAGTCTGGACTGACTTTGGCCCTGTGCCCCCTGGAAAACACAGGCCTGGTAGTCCTTGAGGAGTACTCGACCCACTGCAAGAACTTGGGGTGCTTCCCTCAGTCTGAAGCGCAAATGGTGGTCTCCCATAATCAGCTGAACCAAGGGGACCCCAAATCATAATCTAGACCCTCTCCCAATAAGTCTCCCATGCTAGATACAGAGGAGAACTGTATTGGTTGCAAGGAGTAGGTTTGGAATAGGGTACAGAGTAGAGCAATATCAAAGAAATACCTTAGAGCAAACAGTAGCATGGTAGCCTTTGATCATGCATCTGAGTTACTTCAAGCTTTATATCCAGTTAGATTTCAAGTAGCTTGCTCGCAAGTATCATCCAGAGGCAGGTGGAGATTCCCTCTGGAGGCAAGCAGTTCACTGAATATGAGTTTCAAGAGAGAGAGTGAGTTTCAGATGGTCCAGCTTCTCTGAGAGTTCTCATCATGGTTACTGCGCCTCCTTCTGGGCAGTCTTCAACTTATATAGACCTTATGACCTCATTTACCTGATCCAATGAAGGCCAGCAGCTGTCTGCTGCCAGCCAACTAATTTGAAATGCATCACTGCTTGCTGAGTAAACTGGCAGGGTCTCTAGCCCCCTCCCAGTCATGATGACATTGCTTAGAACAATAGGGAGTTTAAGCCCCCACCCAGGTGTGTGAGGCCAGTCACGTAGGCAGAAGGACTAGGTTTCCCCCTCCCTCAAGAATGTATCCAGCTCAGGTTACAACTCGGAGTTACCTGAAGCCTATGGGACCAGAGGTGTCTGCCCTCTGCAGTGACCATGGTAACCAAATTGTCAGATTGGTAATCTGCCTGATAGCAGAGTTTAGGAAGAGACAGAGATGGCATTTTGCCACACTTTCCACTGTAAATGTCTGGAACTTCAGCCCAGATCAGTTGTTTATTATTTTGGTGTCTAAACCTAGGGCTTCCTGTGTGAAGACAGTGAAGCAGACCTTTTTGCATTTGAATTCTTTGGCCCATCTTCCTGTGTTTTGCACTGCTTGCTTGTCACAAGTGAGAATGTTAAGGATCTGTTTCTAAAATGAGATGTATGTTCTGGTAACTTTCTCAAGAATGTTTTCCTCACTTTATACATTGGTTACATATACCCACATTCTCTTTTTACCCTAATTTTTACTCATTTAGCATCTATGAGTTGGCAGAGGAAACTGAGGTAGTTGTGGACTTAATGACCTCTTAAAATCTCAGCTTTTAGCATACAGTACTATGAAAAACAATATATGCCAAAGGGAACTGTTTTCTTAAAAGCTTCATAAACTGAGCCACAAAAAGAGAACACATGCCAGAAGTGGAAGTATGCCGAGACAACACTTTTGAAGAGTCTACTGCTAAGTAACATTTCTACCTTGTGTGAAGGTAGTAATATTTTTAAATGGTCACTGAAATCCTGGTTCAAATTTATTTGATACTGGCAGTAAGATCAGGAACTTAAATCACAAATTGAACATGTTCATTTGTGTTTTCACTAATTTCACTATGATACAATTTCTCCAAAGTAAATAATGGATAGATTCTGAGAGCTTCCAGTTTGAACCTTCAGCATCATTAAATGGACCTTATTGTTATCCATAAATGCACCAGACCAGATAGTGCCAGTTATACTGAGGATGCTCTTTACATGCTGTATAACCATGGACTTGTAATAAAATTGAGTTTCAGGAATAAGAAACAAAGTATGTGTATGGATGATAGGTTTTGAAGTTCAGTTATGAGAATTGTTCAGATGTTCTTATAAACCAGGTGTCTAAAGAAAGTTGAAACACACACCCCAGCTCCTTCTTCCCTTCTTCAGCCTAAACTTCCAATTTAGAGGTGGTAAAGCTATTACTTGGTCTTCTTTGTTGTTATTATTCAAAAAGATGAATGCATTTAATTTATTT